CCCCTCGTACGTTTCATACGATTCGCGAAACTCTCGGCGTGCTAATTAATAATCTAATTGTTCAAGGTGCGCGCGATGCGAACACGAGTGCGTTCGTTGGCGTACGACAAAGAAAAAGAAAAGAAAAAAAAAAGAAGAAAAATGAAAGAAAATGAATTTAAAAAAAAAAACCTTGAAAAAGATCATCACTGAGCATCCGTGGTCGTGGATTGATTGAGATTGATAACACGATTCGCAAAAGGTGCTGTGGAGGATGGTACTTTTGTTTTCTTCTTTCACTTTGATTTTTTTCTCAATATTTTGTATCCTTCTCTCTTTACATTTCATTATTATGCATTCTCCTTCTATTCTCCTATGGTAAAACAGAACTCCGAATGTCCACGAATGGCTGTAATGCGTATGTTGTATTATGTATAAATGTGATAATACCTATAGGGTCACTTTGAAGGGTGGAAATTCACGGCGGGGAGAGACCCTTTGGAATTTCATGAATCTTTTGAATAATTTTTATTTTGAGTTAATCATATTCACATGTCAATCAAATGAGCACCGGCATCGTTTATTAATGAGAGCCACAGGATGTATAAAGGAGATATATACATGACCAAAGGATGCGACCCAGTGATACTTTCAGACAATACACTACGATTAATTACACTTATATCGGTAAATTAATTTACTGTAATTATTGAATTCCGATTAAAGATGAATATACGATGTACGATTTCGATCGATGCTAAACAATTATTATGAATAACTAAGGAATAAAGTGTGCTCTATGTCACTAGGACTAAATATCACTTATCACTCCCAGATGACAATCCTTTCCTTGATCGTCGAATTATAAAATTGGTAAGATGAAACGATAAGATCATTGTAGAAAAGTTTCTGCAATAAATTCGGTATTAATTATCAAACAATCTTATTTTCACTGTTAAAATACCAAAATCCTTGCAATCACTGAAAAATTGGTTAATTGGAAAATGTTAATTTTCATTAAAAAATGGGAGAAGTGAGGGCAGGCGGATGGTGGGGGGAGCGCTCGAGGCAGTGCCCGGACTCCGAGCGGTCATTCTTCCTCGAGCCGGTCTCCTATACTGGTCTCTTGGAAGCACACCTCATATCCATTTCCAACCTTTTTCTATTTCTATATTTATTTCTTCTTTAATTCCTTATTTCTTTATATTTCATTCTTTACTTTCTGATTTACCTCTTTCCTTACTTCTTCTGTAGTTTTATACCTTCATTTCCTACTTTTCTACTTTTTAACTTCTTAAATTTTATCTTCATTTCTTTCATCCCGTTTCGCTTTGTTCCCTCTCACTTTCAATTGTATTTGTCTTACTTTTCCTATTCCTTTGGTCGGGTCGAGCATATTAATTCAAGTAGTCATATAAGGGTAGTCACCCTGTTAGTGCAGCTAGACTTAAGACCATGGTGTCGGGGGTTGCCCTTCCGCCTCTTCCGCTGAGCTTGCTCAGTGGTTGGTGGCCCAAGTTGTGGCCGCAACAGGACCTTATGGGTCTCCCGACGGGGGCCTTGAGCCCCCTTAGGGTATCTACGGCCATGGTCTTTCGTATAGTGAATCTAGCCAGGTGTCTAGCTCTCGCGTATTTAGTATAATTTGTTCGCTTTGCTAAAAACGCTCCAACATGTCTTGACCCTTGGGCACTTGTGTGGGTAGAGACGATCCTATTTGTCCGTGGGGAGGTCGGAGGGGTAGTCCGTTGACTTTGGGTAAAGTCCTATCTGTGCTTGTGCTTGGGGGTCACTTCACTTGGGATAGGTGCGGGTGCTATTGAGCACCCGCTAGTATAAAGTCACCCTCTGTCGGAGACATTTTGCGCGTGGATCGATGGCTAACGGGGCCCGCCGCCGGCGGCGGGCGTGGTTCCTTACGTCTAACCCACTGGGCTTGCCCGTGGGAAGGGACGGAGGTTGTAGCGTTAAATATCGTCCTTCGGGATGTCCCGGCGTGCCCGCAAGGGTACCGCTGGGTGCTACGCCCGCGGTCTTTCGTTGCGGTGAATCTTGACTAAGGGTAGACCTTTCGCGTTTAACTTGTCCCTTTGCGCGTTTAACTTATCTTAGCTTTTTCGCGTTTAACTTAACCTTACCCCCTTGTGCGTTTTTCTTGTCCCTCGACCCGACTTCCTTCCCTTCCTGAGGTTTTTCCCCCCTAGTCCTGTGCGCGAAAGCCGCAGGACTCGGGGGTTTTCCTCAAAAAAAAAACAAAAAAAAAACACGGTCCCCTATGGGGCTTCGGAGGGGTCGTAGCTCCATTGTGGAGAGG